CAACCGAAGGTTCGGCCAAACCTTTAAAGAAAACGCTTGGCCAAACCTTTTAAAAACAAAAACCCTTCCGCCCGTGCTTGGTGTGTGATTCGTGTCTCGGTTGCAGAGCTCTGGGACTTCAGCGACAAGGGCTTCCAGTGTGGAGTTTAGAGTTTATGCGGTTCAGGGTTATAGGATTGGAGCTAGTCAGCTAGGATTTAGGGTTTGTGGTTCAGGGTTTGGGAGCTCGTTACCGTGTCTCGTTTCAGGTTTCTTGACGTTCTTCCGTGCCTGGGTTCGTGGCTCTCCAGTCGTCAGCCAAAGCTTGAACCCTGAAGCCTCAATCTTAAATTTTAACCCGAAGCCCAAACCTAAAACTTAAACCCCACACCCAGAACCCTCAAGCCTCAATCTTAAATCTGAACCCGAAGCCCAAAAGCCTCAATCCCAAATCCTGCCAGCCTGTAGCCCGAGGAGACCGTCGACCGCATTCGTGAGATGGAGCGGGAGATCGCGAAGTACAAGGATATGTTTCAGGGTTTAGGAGTTCACCTTTCGGGTTTAGGGTTGCGGGTCTAGAGTTTCGGGTTTCAAGTTTAGGGTTTAAGGTTTCGGGTTTGGGGTTCAGGGTTTCGGGTTTGGGAATTGGGGTTTGGGATTTAGGGTGCCGGGAATGCAGATAGTCTAGAAAAGGTGGATGTTGCTTCTGGCCTGGGGACACGGTTCAAGACCTAGGGTGAATGAGACAAGGATTTCAGGCTTAAGGGTTGGAGGGTTTTGGTTGAGAGCTTGAGGTTTTGGGGCTTTGCGAATTGAAGGCGCTAGTGTTTTAAATATATAGAGGTTTAGTATTTCCGGCTCCGCAATATGAGATGGCACCTGCGTCATTCCGCTGTAACCGTTTAATTATGCCCCCAACTCCACCCAAATCCCCTGTTTGATGCGTCTGCATGGAATCCCAAAATAGCAATGCCATATGGAGCCCCAGCCCTCCTTGTCTTCTAAGGAGCAGCAGGCGGTCCAGCACGAGGAGCAGTACAACCTCGATTGCGTCCTGAAGCATTGCAACGAAAGCTGGTCTTCCTTGGGGAATTGAGGTCCTTAAGGTTATACTCGCTTAATATTTGGGTCCAAACCCTAAACCCTAAGCCCTAGCGCGTTCTTTGCGGGATCATCTGTTTATTAGTATGGTTGTGCGGTAGTATAACCATGTATAACATTAGGGGAGTTGCTGTTGTCGTAGATCTCAGGGGCTTATAGGGATACTGGCTGAATATCCAGTAACAGTATCCCCTTAAAACCCTACATATTTTCATATTATACTACACTCTACCCAAGGCTCTTTCGCAATTGTTAACAGTAGGGAACATCTTAATCAAAAGCTTTTTGAGGGAACTTCTCAAGGACCCAAAATTACTATAGACTATCTATCACTTCAGGACCTCTCCAAGGCGTTTTAAAAGCCTCGCTTTTGCACGTCGTTTTTTGGAATTCTGCAAAAAGCCGGTGCGTGATTCCAACATGGTCGATCCCGTGCCGAAATGCCTCGGACCCCCATCGGCCGAGAAAGCCTTGAGCTGCAAGCCACAAGTGCTTACTAAGTACATATTATATGATTCGATATTATAGTTATATTCATATTACAGTATATCACAGACAAATTGAGTTATAATAGATGATTACGGAGGCCTGAAATCAATCCCCCTTTGCACCCACTTTATTCATGCTGCGACGACTCCTTACTTATAGCCTGCAACTATACTTGCTAAGTTGCCTGATCGTTGAGGAATCCCTGCAGACCTTGTGCGAAACCCTTCTGAACCCTATACCACCTTAACCCAAAGTTTGGGATGCTGAAACTACAAAGCGATTTTGCTGTCGGGTCGCATTAAGAAGCCCCCAAACTCCAGCAGAACGATTAAGAGGTCTGGGTTGAGGCCTACATTGTCAGACAAGGGTTTCTTGGTGTGTGTGTGTGTGTGTGTGGGTGCGTGTGTGTGTGTGAGTTTGTGTGTGTGTGTGTGTGTGTGTGTGTGTGTGGGTGGGGGTGGGTGGGTGGGGGGGTGGGTGGGTGGGTGGGTGGGTGGGTCGGTGGGTGAGTGAGTGAGTGAGTGTGTGTGTGTGTGCGCCTGTGTATGTGTGTGTGTGTTCGTTCTACTACATGTATAGTCAGAAACATGGCATTGTCACTGCACGTCCAAGCGACTATCGCATTAAAGGAGCTCTGCGACGAATCATGCAGACTCCTGCGTCCTAAATGAAAATAGGTAGTTATCCATTGCAGCGACAGTGACAGCTACCGTCGGAGACTGGCGTAGGTTTCTTCGGTGCCCGATACTTAACGCTAAGGGGAGCCCTAAACCTTAAACCCAGAAATCTGGCAGCTCAGTAGTTAGGCAGAGAGGAGCACCGTCAAAGAAGGAGCCCACTTGGGTCGAAGATCGCCCCTTGGGTATCGATTGGGGGTTCTTCCGAAACTCACCCTCGTGCCCTCTTCTGAAGCCAACGTGCCCAGGCTCTTAAAAATTTAGGGTTTAGGAGTTTAGGGTTCAGGGTTTTGAAATCCAAGATGGCAACCCAGAGTCCTAATCCCTAAACCCAGGTTTAGGAGTTTAGGGTTCAGGGTTTTGAAATCCAAGATGGCGGCAAAGAAGGAAAAGATACACTCGAAACCCGGAGCCCTAAACCCAGAACCCTGGAGCCTGAACACCGAGGTCGACCCCCAAGACCTAGTTCCCCAAACTCCGAGCCCCAAGCCGCAAGCACACCTACACCCGAAGCCTCTAAGCCTTCGGTAACTCGTAGGGAACCCCTATCTATATCCCTCATAGCCCCCCTTATTGTTGTAAAGCGTTGTAAAGCTGAGGCACTTACAGTGCCCCTGAAAGTAAGCCGAGTGATTCTTATGGTGACCCCCAACAGAAGCGCTTGTAATTAGCACTCCCAAACCCTCGGTCATACATAAACCCTGAACATTTGAATAAATGCAAACCCTAACCCCCAAAACCCCTATCAACTCTAAACCCTACACCCCAACCCCTGTAAAGCTTATGAACCTGAAACCCCTAATCCCAATATACCCCAAAACCCAAACCTACATCCTAAATAAAGCCCTAACCCAAAAGCCTACACCGGAAGAGCCCTCAACGGCGCGACTCTCGAGACCAGCCTCGGACACCGGCAGGGACTGGGGTTTTATGGGGTTTACGAGGGCTTTAGGGTTTCCGCATGTTTTATAGGTTTTTTTTTTTTTAAGGGGCTTTCTAGGGGTCTACATGGTTTTATGTGGTTTAATAGTGTGAGGGGCCTTAAGAACAGGGTTTGGGGGTGGCATCTATTATAATAGACAGGAACTCTCAGGGGATACTCAAACTGACTAGCCAGACCTCCACAGCAGGGATTGACTAGGGTTTGGAGTTTAATCTGTTGTGGGCTGAGAGTTTTGCGTTCATCGTTGACTGCTCGGTGGATTGGGAGTTTGTGATTTAGGGTGTGGATCAGGTTTAACCAGTTACTTGGGTGTCCTGCCGGATCTGACAGAACAACTGCATGCCGAAGGCACGAAAAGGTAGGCGTTCCAGCAAGTGTAGTCGCCTGAGTGGGACCCCTTCAAATATTAATGTGATACTGGTTTGTAACAAGTTTCAGGTTACCGTAGATGGAGGTAGACTTCGCGGTGTAGGGTAAGTTTTCAACCGCTGGCTACCAGAAGTCATCCCCCACCTGAGACCACGAAACCTCTGAACCAGCAAGCCTTGAACCCTGTAGAATTCCTTTAAATGCTGAAAACCCCAAACCTGATACTCGACTCGTCCCGTCACCGCAGTCGCAAACGGCTAACTGCCTGATGTCTTAGAGAAGGTCGTGCAGGTTACAGGGTAAACCCTAAACCCCTAAATCCCTATAAACCCTAAACCCTAAACCTAGGATTAGTAGGGTTTACGGTTTTGGACTTAATATAGGGGCCTTAATAATCAGAATATAACAAGGAACCCACAAAATAGTGTAGGTAATTGTTTAGGCCCCTACAGTAGGAGCCTCCGGAGCTTTTGCATGATTCTCCCTCGTGCACCAAATAAAATGTACTGAACCAAGAAAGCCCAATGCCACCAAGACATACCGTTGATGATACAAATCCTGCATTGCCCATCATAAGGAATATACCATAATTCCCATAGGTTTGTGTCCTTACGGTATTGTAGGATTTATATCATCAACAGTAGTGCTCTCAACCAACACAGGCGTCTGAAAAAATAGCAGTAAGGCTCCCTGTACAACTATACTCGATTGAGCCCGAAAACCGTATGCAAATTTGTTAAGTTGTTAAGGCCAACCCAAAACTCTGAACCGAGGGTGTGGCGTCTCAGCGGCCCGCTTGCCTGATCAATATGAGGTTTTGCAGTGACGTTGGCGTGCGGCTCAAAGCTGCTCAGGTGATCTGTCGTTGATTTTATGATCAAGGGACTCAGGAAAAGGATCAAGGGTCTGGGAAAGTGTCCCCTTAGGGCCCTTTGTCGGTGGAGGGCCACGTTGCTGCGTTGTTTTTCCGGTCTCGCATCGTAGTTATCCTTCGCAGCCATGCAGCCCCATCCACCAGAAGAGGGTCAGACTGAGCAGCAGTACGAGCTGTCGGCAGCTGTGCCCGCCGAGAAGTCGCCAGCATTGTCTGATGATCTGCCGAATGCTGAAATCAATGCCACCTGGCAGCAATTGCCCTTAAGTAGAAACCCTTGCCATGCTTTTTGCGCCTAGGATTGTCTGTTGTCATCATATGCGAGTTTCAGAGAATCGGGAAAAGAGGCGTTCTATGTGCACTGTAGAATCACTGTAGAAGCCTCTAATCATAAGGACGCCGAGATAAGGTAATTAGCCTGATTGAGTGCTAAAAAGCCTTGCAAATGTGGCTGTACAGTGCGCAAACGCTCTTGAAGGTAATGGTTTAGGTTCTACGGTTCCTGCAATGTGGCACATTTTGAGCCAAGAAGGTTTAGGATTGAATTAGGGTCTAGGGGCTCAGTGTGTCGACGCCTTTTCTCTTTTGAGCCCTGCACATGCTTCTTGAGTGTCTTGTGTCCCAGTTCCAGAGAGCTCACTACACCTGAAATACGGAAAGCAGTTACGACCTCATGCAAGAGGGCCTACAATGTTAAAGGCGCAATCCTTAACAACAGGGGTATTGGGCATGGAATGCAAATCCCCCTTACCATTATAAACAACGCTGCGACTAAATGAGTGATCTTGAGCTTCTCCCAGCAACTAACACGCTGCGGAAAGGATCGAAGGTAACACATTTAGCCATCTCTGTCCCCTTTAAAACTTCACAGCTCAGGTTTCCATCGTGGAGCCAGTTCATTCAGAAAAGGATTCTCCTGACCTCCAGGGAGTCTCTGCTGCCGCCGGCAATGGTCAGAACAGGCGTAAGACCGATGCCCTTTGGCAGGGATCGCAGTGCAACGCCGTCTAGTTATGATACAACCTACCCCAAACCTCATTCTAATTGCTGAGGCCTCTGTATTTACCAGCATATACTGGCACAACTCTCTCATGACTTGGGGCTACGGAGCTCTCCACCTCGTGACCAACAGAAATCTCCCAAAACCACTCCTTTGTAGTTGAGAAAACCAGGCTTTCGGGTTTAGGGTCTACTATAGTTACTATAGAAGCCTGAAAAATTACCAATTCTGTTCCTTAGGGTTCCTTATTATGAGTATAGTATCAGGTGCCCCAAAACCCTGTTCTAATTGTTAAGGCCCCTAGGGCCTGAAGCCCCAACCCTAGCGAGACGAAACCCTTCAACACGTCTGGGCCTGAAGATGAATCAAGACGATTTCCTGCGAAATGGAGCCCAAGTCGCAAAAAGCCGGAATGTCCAGACCCCAAGCGAAAAAAATAAAAGCCTAAAAACGCAAGCCTGAAAGCCCAAACTCGAAGACCTCCAGCCTCAAATCATGTGCCCCGAAACCCACATCGATTTTGCGGTTTGGGGCTGAGGGTTTAGAGTTTAGGGGTGAGTGCGGGCCTAGGCTTCTTTCCGTCCAGCAGAAGATGCTCCAGCCCCTGCAAGACTCTCAAGAACGACCAGTGAGCAGTCTGGGAATGCCTCCGACGACTCCGGAGCTGATACCCTGAATGATCTCCGGTGCTGTTTCAGCTGTCCTCTGCCCTTTTTTGGGGATCTGCAGACACCACGTCTGCTCTTATCTTCGAATGGGGAGCAGTTCGGGGTTGAAGTTAGCTAACACCTGAGTAGGTAGCCTACAACCGGTCTGGGCATACGTCAGCCTACCACAACAGTGCTCAGGATTCAGGGTTTAGGGTTCAGGGTTTATGAAAAGTGTTAACCTGGATTCGGCTAGGACATAGTATGGGCTTGGGGCTTAGGGGGAAGATTTACCCAACTGGTCCAAGTAATCGGACCCCTGCACCACCCCGCATGGAGCTGATGAGATCCTAAACCCCAAACCCTAAAACCGAAGCCCTGAACTCCCTAGATCCCCAACCCAACTCAGTTTCACCATTGTCGTTAGTAGGCGCATGCCTGCTATTCTTAGGTTCAGGGTTGAGGTTCACGTGTTTAGGGCCATGGGGTTGGGATTCGCAGAGTTTAGAAAAATGTTCCCACTCCTGTTCCTATTATGTAAGAACTTGGCTGCTCTTTACAAGTGTTTCGAATTTTAGGACCTCAGAGAGCAACCCACAAGAATGTTTACCTCTCATGAAGACATCTCCTGAAGGCTCAGCATTCTGGGTTTGCAGTCCAGTGGTTGGTCTTCGGTTTAAATTGTTTTAGCTCTGGAGATGTTTTTGCACGGCCAAGCCATATCTGGCGAACGAGCTTCCGACTTCTGAGCGCTATTCTTGTGCTGTTGCTGCTATTGAATATGATTGAGCCCGTCAATACGCTGGCTACCTGTTTTAGAGTCCCCGTTTTGTTTTGTTGAGAGAGCATAGCCCTGTTAGGCCTAAACTCCAAACTCCGTAAAGCCATTACGAAAGCAAGCCTGGCGCCTCTCAGCACGTCGGTTGCTGTCATACAACGAGCCCTTCAAGCCTCTCCTGAACCCTGAAGCCTACACCCTCAACGCCAGGTCCTACACAAAAGCCTTAAAGCCTAAACGCTGAAGTCCAAATCCTAAACCCTTCTCGGTCCCCGAGCCCAAGCCCAAGGAGGATGAAGAGTGGGCGGCCCAGTTCATGTCCCGAGTCTGGGCCAAAGTAGGGGAGCAACCAAGAAGTTTGGAGGGGATATGGGGAGTTTAGGGCTTTTAGGGGGATAGTTGGTAATAGTAATGTCTATGTTAGTATCCTTACTTTATGGGATAGATTGGTAACAGCACCGTATATGTTTCTGGCCTGATCTTCTCCCGCAAGGCATTAGTCTCATTCTTAAGGTCCCTGAAAACCCCCGCAGTCCCGCAACCCCCCACAGACGTTTAACGGTTTAGGGTTTAGGGCTTAGGACCTGCGGTCGGAGCCAATGCTGTGGTTGTTAAGAGAAGATCATCACCAAGCCCTAAACCCTAAACCTTGGAAGCCTCCAACCCTCAAGCCTAAGCCTTAAACCTTAAACCCGAAAAGCCCCAACACTAGGGGTGTCTTTTTTTCGCGGGGTCTGGGGCTCAGAATTTTAGGGATCAGGGCGTAGGATTGAGGTTTCGATTCTCGATAGCCAATTTTCGGGTGCGCATCGGTTTTTCCAGCAAGAATCGTGCTAGCCTTAAATCCCCAGACCCTTCCCGGTGAACCCCTAAGCACGAAACCCTAAACCTTAAACGCCATAAACCCTAAACTTGAAGTCAGCCCCGAAGTCTGCAGAGGAATGCTGCCAGCAGCTCCAGACATCATCCAGGCGGTCCGCGCGCACCATGCTGTACGACTGTTCGGCCGCGTCTTTCGGAAGCTCTGGGGCAGAAGTGAATTCAGTCGGGCTTAGGGTTTTAGGGTTTGGGGTGTAGGGCCTACTGTAGGGTTTGTTCCTTGGGCTTCCTCGGTTCAAAAATTTATATATACTATAAATGTAAACCGAAACCCTGGCCCCCTATTTTCGCCCTAGAGGAGCTTGTTTTCCGGGTTTGGGTGCTTGAGGTCTGTCTGACACTATAAGCCGTTTTGATGGTCGGGTGTTGTAGGTTTCAGGGTTTCGCGTGTTGGGCTTCGATTCCCGAACAGAGGTTTATAGCAGCAGAAACTAGGGGGCAGTGGGTGTTATGAGTTTTGTTGCTCCGTAAGGATTGGAGCAAGCGCTTCGTGTGCAAAAGCGAGCTTTGAGACGGAGACGATAGATCAGTTTTGGAGTCACAGCTGGCACGGCCCGAGTTGGAACAAAGCTATGACGGCTGTATACCTGAATAATGGCATGGTGGCAGCGCTGGTGGCGGCCCTCGTTTCTTGGCCCTTTTTTGCAAAGAGTTGTATATACATTGTAGTGTAGTGTATTCTGAAGAAGAGACAACCACGTGTAACCTCCCAGAAAACATGGAACTTCCTAGGTTGTTTCACATCTCTTTGATAGGGTAGCAACCATCGCAGGCGCCCCTTGGGTTCCATGCCAGTTTCACGGCAACCGCCTCATGCCCTGAATGATACCTGCTAAACCCGAACCCTTCAGCCCTGTGCCTCCATGAAAAGCCCAGGTTGCGGTGTTGTTGATGTCACTCCATGCGTATCAGATCTTGCCGTGCCTTCATTTCGGCAGGCTTGGTCCGCTTGTTCAAGGGGGTTTCTGCGGAACCCAGCGAGGATTTATACTGTAGCTTAATATATTTGCGTAAATAAATACTAATACTAGTACTACTACTACTACTACTACCACCACTACCACTACTACTACTACTACTACTACTACTACTACTAACGATAAAGTTCCTACTAGTACTAGTACTGGTACTGGTACTGGTACTGGTACTGGTACTGGTACTGGTACTGGTACTGGTACTGGTACTGGTACTGGTACTGGTACTACTACTACTACTACTACTACTACTACTACTACTACTA